GTTCGTTTTTTGTGTAGCTTCCAAAGTGCTCTTTTGCAAGTCAGCTTTACTCAAGCTTCATTTACATATACAGTAGTAAAGTTCACCTTCTTTAGAGTGCACTTGTATAAGTTATGACAAATGCATGTTGTTGTGTAACCACCATCGCACAACATTTGCATTGTCTCCAGTTTCTGTCTCTAAACCTTTGTGTACTATAAAAAGTTTTAGTGTAAAAAGAAGTTTTCATATATCTTGGGCAAATACCTAGGATTGGTATTGCTAGGATGCAAATTTATATTTAACTTTATGAGAAACTACCAAATTATTTTCCAAAACACCTGAACTATTTGAATTCCCACCAGCAATACACGCTTTGAAAATTGCTTCACATCCCCACTAGCACTAGCCAGGTTTTTGTTTTGTTTTTGCTTTAATCATTCCAATAAATGTGTAGTGGTAGCTCCATGTAGCTTCAACGTGTATTTCTATATAACTGATGATATTTAGAATCTCTCACATTGTTATATACAATTTGTGTGTCTTTGGTAAAGTATCTGCTCAAATATTTTACCTGTTTTTATTGAGATTTTTCCTTTTTGTTGAGTTTGAAAAATTCTTTATATATTCTATATACAAAGTCCTTAGATAAATGTACTTTGCAAAAAAAATTCTCAGCTTTTATTGGTATCTTTGGCAGAGAAAACATTTTCATTTTGATGAAGTTCACGCTATGAGTTTATTCTTTCCTCTGTTTGGTTTTGTATCTGCAATGTGAGATCACAAAGATCTTCCATTTTTCTTCTAAATTATATAACCACATCTTATACTTAGGCCTGTGGTTTGGGTTAATTCATGTATGATATGAGGTACAGATCAAGGTAGAGTTTCATTCTGTTGCCTGTAGCTATCCAGTTGTTGTAACGTCATTTGTTGAAAAGACTGTCTTTTTCACTTGACTGTATTTGTGTGGATATTTCCAGACTCTGTCCTGTTCTACTCTGTCTGGGGTCAGCAGCAAACGTTTTCTTTTTTTTTTTTTTTTTTGGTACCGGGGATCGAACTTGGGACCCTGTGCTTGTGAGGCAGGTGGCAGCACCACTGAGCTAAATCCCCAGCCCCAGCAGCAAACATTTTCTGTAAAGGACCAGATAGTAAATATTTTAGATTTCACAGGGCAACAGGCAAAGTGAAAGTTATTGTTTAGGTACTTGTATATTAAGAAAGAACAAATGTTTACAAATTTTTGGTAAAATTCAAAACATAATGAACTACATTTTTTTTTGTAATAGAGGAAGGGAGAGTAGGTTTCCTTTTTTGGGAGAGGGATAACATTTTACTTAATTAGGTTCAAAATTAGTGTTTTCTCCCATGAAAATGGATTATAGCCAAAACAAAAAATAAAATATTTTTCTACTCTAAGCATATATAGAAATTCATTTATTTTATTCTATACCTTTTGCACTGTTTCTTAAAAATTGTGTATATGGGGCCAGGGATTTAGCTCAGTGGTTCTGCCGCCTGCCTCCCAAGCGCAAGGTCCCAAATTCGATCCCCGGTACCAAAAAGAAAAAAAAAAAGTAATTTGCTTTGTTTTGGGCCGGGGATTTAGCTCAGTGGTTCCAGTGCCTGCCTTGCAGCTCAAGGTCCCAAGTTCGATCCCCGGTACCAAAAAAAACAAAAAAAATTGTGTATATGGTATAGAGTAAGACTCTAACCTAATTTTTCCAAATATAAATCCCACAACACTTTAGGGGGAAAAATGGATTACACCCAGGCATGGTGGCACACACCTGTAATCTTAGCATGCAAGAGGCTGAGCCAGGAGGATTGCCTCAAAGTTAAGGCCAGCCTGGGCTACATAGTGAGTTCAAGGCCAGGCTGAGCTATGTAGGAAGACCCTGTCTCAAAAAAGAAGACAAAACAAAAAGGATTACAAATGTTCATCTATTAGTTCATATCTGTAATGGAAACATATATATTTTAGCTTTGAAAAATGTCTTCACACAGATGATACGTGTACCTGTGGAAACTGCTTTGTAGAGTGCCAAAAGTATTGTAAAGCAATCTGCGATGACTCGTTCATTCTCCATCATAGCACAAATGCAACCATAGACAATTTGTAAACAAAGGAGAATGACTATTGCAATTTCACATCATTTTCACTTGTCACAAAATATTCTTCTTTTGATTTGTTTCAACAACTTAAAATTATCAAAAGCATCCTCAGCTTAGGATTCAAAAACGAAGACCAGTTAGATTTAGCCTCTGAGCTGTAATTTGGTTACCCTATCCCTTACCCCACTCCCACCCCCATCTATGTTTCTATTTTTTCACCAAAATAACACTGTCAGGATTACTGTAGCTTTATACTAAGTCTTAAAATCAGACAGTGTAAGTTTTCCAACTTGTTCTTTTTAGAAATTGTTTCTTTACCTTTCCATATAAATTTTAGAATCAACTTACTGACTTATACAGAAAGTCCTGCTCTGATTTTGATTGGAATTATGTTGAATCTAGAGAGCATTCGGGGGGGATTGCTATCTTAATATCAAAAGAATTTGGTAAATCTCTTCATTTATTTAGGTTTTCTTTGATTTTTTTTTATCAGTGTTTTGTAGTTTTGATCTTGAATATTGATCTTGAATTTTGCACATATTTTGTTAGATTTGTTCCTGTTTCATGTTTTCTGGCCAGAGAGGTCTTTTTAAAAATGCAGATTGTATCCTGTTGTTTCCCCTATTCAAAGCCCTTAAGTGGCTTCCCACTGCTCTGAAGTCTATAATCTGTGAAAGTCTAAAGGCCCTACAGGATCTGGCCCCTTCTCTCTTTTTCAGCTGAATTTTATGCCACTCTTCCCCTAACTCAGAGTTTTCAAGTCTCAGACTAGGAGGAAATGGTTTATCTACTGAAGGGTATAACTGTTAGACTATCTTAAAGGGTACACAAATGTTTTTTAAAAATCAAAGAATGTCTTTTAACCTTACTGGGTCACTGACCTCTCTGTATTTCTTTGGTTCCTAAATCTGTAAGTCTTCCATTAAGGCAAAATGCTTTAGAACTATTGGTTATGAGGGACTTCATTTTATGTATATTAGCTAAAGAAAATATTTTCATTCCTTAGAAACATATTGAAACTTGGCAAAAAAGTCTGAGTTTCTGACCAAACTAAGGATTCTGTCACTGACATTATATATGGATGAAGTTAAAACTTTCCAGCTATTAAAATAGTTTTCATAAGCCTACTGCCAATTTGTTACAATATTCAAAGCACAAACATAGGACTGTACTCGTTTTCTCTGGGAAAGTCTGCAGCTGTGAGCTTAGGGTGAGAAAGCCACAAGATTCATTGTTTTAAACAAACCTTAAAACCAGCACATCTGATCAACCAATGTTTATTCATTATGCTAGACATAAAGAGATGAATAAGGCACACCTTAGGCCTTAAAGGAGCCCAAAAACTAGTGGTGAAACAGACAATTAAAACGGAAGTACTTGTTCCTGGAGCCAGGGCTTCAGTAATCCAGGGAGAAATGAGCAGCCTTCCAGGATTTTAAACATAGTAAGACTGACTGGTTTTCAAGACATAAGGCTGAAAGGGAGGCAAGAACCATCTCAGAAAAGATTTAGGAGCTTTCATCCCATCCTTTAACTCAGACATTCACCTCAATGCCTTTAGATTCATCTGGGGAACTTGTTAAAAATTCAGACCTGACCCCTGAGATTGACCAGGTAGGGTTATGATGGTTCCTCAGGAGGTTCTTAGTTAGCTAGCAGTCCTCATTGGGCACACCGACATGTAGGAGCCAATGCATTAGGTAAAAGTGAGCCACAGAATAGTTGTTAAGCTCCTTATAAGATGAGCATATTAGTATTTTTAGAAAGTTAAATCTGATAGTATTGTAGAACTGTGGAGTCACCTGAGATTAAAATGCAAATTCTGATTCACTAGGTCTGGGATTGAATCTAAGGTAACTGCATTTCTGACAAGTTCCCAGGTAAGGTTGGTACTGCTTATCTGAAAACCACACTTTAAGTAGCAAAGGGAATAGAGGATGGATTAGAGTGGGGTGAGACAACAGCATGGAGATCAGCTAGGAGCCTATCACAGCAATCCAGGCAAGAGATAGTATCTGAACTGCTAACAGTTTCTGTTAATGGCAAAATGGGTTCCAGTGAAATGTAATGATATAAATTTGGCAGTAAGATTTGGAGTTAGAAGTAGATGAAACTTAGCTATCTAGGTGGGTAGTGATGACATTAACTGAAATATAAGATAAAGAATAAGATAGTGGCTTGGGATGTAGAATAGGGCTGCTTAGAAATCCGTCTCTTGGAGTTGAAAAATGGATAGCCAGAGGAGGATTCATTGAATTTAAGAGTCTGTGAAGTGTCTAAAATTCTAACAGTGGGTGGAAGAAGAACCATAGAGAACTAAGAGGTGTTAGTGAGAGATTGGTTGAAAACAGAACAGTATAAAAGGCATTTCCATGGCAGGGAATAGGGAGTGAGAATACCTCAGTGGTAGAATACTTGCCTAGCATGAGAGAGGCCGTGGGTTTGATCACTTGAACATAGGGGCAGGGGAAGGCATTTCCAGGAGATGAAGGTCATGGCAAAGACTGTGTATGTTTCAAAGTGTTCTTGGCATGGTGTCATTCCTGTAATCCCAGCTACTTGGGAGGCTGAGGCAGGAAGATTGCAAATTCCAGGGAAGCCTGGGTAACTTAGCAAAGCCCTGTCTCAGAATAAATAAAAAGAGCTGTGGATGTAGCTCAGTGCTAGAGTACTCTTGGGTTCAATCCCCAGTACAGGGGAAAAAAGAAAAACAGAATTATAGTTAAAAGGCTAACTTTTCAAGGTGCTGGTGGCTAAAGGGAAATTCTAAAGACTCCAATTCATTTATCTTTCAATCTTTTCATTTAAGTAAGATTAAAAACCAGATCTTTCAAGTCACTCATGATGGTAAGCCTCACTGTGCCTTTTCCATTCAGGGTTTTTTCCTCTCTTTTCTCCCACAGGTTGATCATTCATAGAAGAGCTGCTATAACAATATACAGAAGGTGAAAACTTAACAGATAAAAGTTTTGCCATGCACTGAAAGAAAAACATTGTCTGTGAAGTTCTATTTTTAAAAATGTCTGCTTGTAACACCTTTACTGAACATGTTTGGAAACCTGGTGAATGCAAGAATTGCTTTAAGCCTAAAAGCTTACACCAGCTCCCCCCAGACTCTGAGAAGGCACCCATCACCCATGGCAATGTGAAAACTAATGCCAATCACAGTAACAACCACCGCATCAGGAACACCGGAAATTTCCGGCCTCCTGTGGCTAAAAAACCTACTATAGCTGTGAAGCCCACTATGATGGTGGCAGATGGGCAAAGTGTATGTGGTGAGCTTAGCGTTCAAGAACAGTGTGAGAACAAACCTGTCATCATGGGATGGAACCGAAACAGGACTGCCTTGAGTCAGAAACCACTTAACAATAATAATGAAAATGATATTGAAGGATTTAGCCATGTTCCTAAGTCTTATGACAATAATGATAGTGCAAAGAAGGTATCAAATAACAATAATGGGCTAACTGAAGTGTTAAAGGAGATAGCGGGCCTGGATACCACCCCTCAGATAAGAGGAAATGAAACAAACTCCAGAGAAACCTTCTTAGGAAGAATAAATGATTGCTACAAACGCTCACTGGAAAGAAAGCTCCCACCAAGCTGTATGATAGGTGGGGTAAAGGATTCTCAGGGCAAGCACGTCATTCTGAGTGGGAGCACAGAAGTCATCAGCAATGAAGGAGGCCGCTTCTGCTACCCAGAGTTCTCTAGTGGTGAGGAGAGTGAGGAAGATGTTCTTTTCAGCAACATGGAGGGGGAACACGAGAGCTGGGATGAGAGTGATGAGGAGCTGCTGGCCATGGAGATCCGCATGAGAGGGCAGCCTCGCTTTGCTAACTTCAGGGCAAACACTTTGTCTCCTGTGCGATTCTTTGTGGACAAAAAATGGAATACCATCCCCTTACGAAATAAGTCACTGCAGAGAATTTGTGCTGTAGACTATGATGACAGCTATGATGAAATTCTGAATGGATACAATGAAAATTCCGCAGTCTCCTGTGGACAAGGAAGCATTCAGAGCATGGTGTCCTCTGACTCCACATCACCTGATTCTTCTTTAACAGAAGAATCACGTTCTGAGACAGCCAGTAGTTCATTCCAGAAGATTTGTAATAGGGGGCTGTCTCCTGGTAACCCTGGAGAGTCTAAGGACATGAAGGAAAATTATGAAAGTCTCTCTGGTAACAATCAGGAGAAGGAATTGTCACAAGCCTCCAAAAGGTCTGTAAAAGTTCCAGAGACACACAAAGCAGTCCTTGCTCTTCGATTAGAAGAGAAAGATGGCAAGATTGCTGTACAAACTGAGCAGCAAGAAAGCAAAGCCTCTACAGATATTGCTGGGCAAGCAGTAACTATAAACCTCGTCCCTGTAGAAGAGCAAGCAAAGCCCTACCGAGTTGTAAATCTGGAACAGCCACTGTGCAAGCCATATACTGTCGTGGATGTGTCAGCAGCCATGGCCAGTGAGCACCTTGACAGTGCTGTCAGCAGCCCTAAGACCAAAAGCTCATCCTCCACTCCAAACTCACCAGTAATGTCACCTGCGTTGACACCAGGACAAATAGGCGCCCATTTCCAAAAATCCAGTGCAATTCGGTACCAGGAAGTGTGGACTTCCAGCACCAGTCCACGGCAAAAGATTCCTAAAGTGGAATTAATTACTGGTGGAAGTGGACCAAGTGTCCCTCCAAGAAAAAACTGTCACAAATCAGCACCTACTTCACCCACAGCTACAAACATTTCCTCTAAAACCATCCCTGTTAAGTCACCTAATTTGTCTGAAATAAAATTTAACAGTTACAACAATGCTGGTATGCCACCTTTTCCAATTATCATTCATGATGAGCCAACTTATGCTCGGAGTTCCAAAAACGCTATTAAAGTTCCCATTGTTATTAATCCAAACGCCTATGACAATCTAGCCATCTACAAAAGTTTTCTGGGAACAAGTGGAGAACTCTCAGTGAAGGAAAAAACCACAAGTGTAATAAACCATACTTATGAAGAAATAGAGACTGAAAGCCAACTGTCTGATAACACCACTAGCAAACCCACTGAAAGTCCCCAGGCTAAAGGGTTTTCAAACAGCACAGAGCGTAAAAGGGGCTCAGTGGCCCAGAAGGTTCAGGAGTTTAACAGCTGTCTCAACAGAGGTCAGGCTTCCCCACAGAGAAACTATAGTTCCACCCACAGCTCCCCAGCCAAAATCCAGAGAACCACTCAAGAGCCTGTATCCAAAACAGAAGGCGCACAGGAGTCTCAAATACCGGGGAGCACTGGTGGCACTAGGGAAAAGGCAAGCACTGTGCTCTCGCAGATTGTGGCTTCTATCCAGCCCCCCCAGTCTCCTCCAGAAACACCTCAGTCTGGCCCTAAGGCTTGCAGTGTGGAAGAGCTTTATGCCATTCCTCCTGATGTGGATACTGTGAAGAGCATACCTAAGAGCGCAGCAGTCCGGCCCAAGTCTCTCTTTACATCTCAGCCTGGAGGTGAGGCCGAAGCACCTCAGACCACAGAAAGTCCTGGCACCAAACTGCAGAAAGAACTATTTGCAAAGCCTGTCACCTCTCCTCCCTCCAAATTAGTGACCAGTCCTCAAAATGAGCCACCACCTCCCTTTCCCCCACCAAGGTCCACTTCCTCCCCTTACCATGCAAGTAACCTTCTGCAGAGGCATTTCACCAACTGGACCAAGCCAGCTAGCCCCACCAGATCCACAGAAGCTGAATCTGTTTTGCACTCTGAAGGCAGCAGACGGCCAGCTGAGGCAAAGCCTAAACGCTGGATATCATTTAAAAGCTTCTTCCGCCGTCGGAAAACAGATGAGGAAGATGACAAAGAGAAAGAGAGAGAGAAAGGGAAACTGGTGGGCCTGGATGGCACGGTCATCCACATGTTGCCTCCTCCTCCCGTTCAACGCCATCATTGGTTTACAGAGGCAAAAGGAGAGTCTAGTGAGAAGCCATCCATTATCTTCATGTACAGGTGTGACCCTGCCCAAGGCCAGCTCAACGTGGAGCAGAGCAAGGTCAGGGCTGAGCAGACAGCAGGCACGGAGAAAGATAGAACAGAGGATGTGTCACTGCAAGACTCTCAGAAAAAGAAAAGTAGTCGTCATTCACCATTACAGATTCCTGAAAAAGTTCCCAGGTATGTAAAATGGACTGATAGAATACAGAATCTTTAAACACATTTTCATGTGTAAGTTTTTTATATCTCTTAAGATTGCACAAGAACCATTTCTGTTTATATAACTAGCACTCTGTGCCCATCATCCATCTTTATAACTGCATTCCAAGATTAGAATATTATTAAAGTGATCTTATTGCACCAAACAAGGTTTATGGCCCTGGCTCTAGCAAAAGCAGCCTGCTGCATTCCAGTGAATGCAGAGGGCCTTAATATAGAAAGCCAATCCATAGCACTGTAATAGCAATAAATAATATGTTGTTCTGAAATGTGATAGTGTGAAGCATAAACAGAATCAAATGAATGCTTTTTCTCTCATTATAAATGAAGTAAAACTCTTTGAGCTATTCTCTTTTTGGCTTTTACCAAGGTGTTTTCTCCATATGCATTACTTTAAGGGACTATTTTGTTTTTTACAGCTGTCTCTTTCTGTTCTCTTTTTAAGTGTGGTGAGGAGCAGGGGCAAGCAGTTTAAAGATACATAGCATGTAGGAGAAAGAGAAGTTGATGATTGAGAGTAAGACTCAGCTGTATAGCCCTTATTCACCTAGGCAGATTGTGTATCCACATGAGCTCTTTAGGCATTAATTTTCTTTAACCTCAATAACTTTTTATTGATCACCTACTCTGTGCATGGCACATTCCAGATTCTTTTCAAATCCTTCTAAAGCCCTATAAGTTGACTGTATTTTTTAGAAGAAGAAACTGAAAATCAGGACAGTTTAAGAATTGGCTAGAATTGCAAAGCTAATACTTGTCAGAATTAGAATTCATACCCTGATCTGTTTCACTCTAAAGCTTCTCTTCTTTCTGAAATACTCCATTATTAATGAACACAAGATCAAACAAAGAGCTTGGGGTATAGCTCAGTGGTAAAGTGTTTGCCTGGCATCCATGAGGATTTGAACCCCAACACTACAAAAGAAAAAATAATTTATTTGTGTCATTCACATGAACACTTAGAAGCAAGTTTAAGAAGCCTGTTTTTCTTTCTCATTTATATTGTAAGCAAAATTAACTGCCATTAAAAACAAGGAACATTTATCTCAAGTTTGTGACACATGGGATGATTTCCTTATACTCCCTACCCATTTTATTCTTAATCAACAATATGCCTTAAATATTTCATTCTTTTGATTCTGAGTCCTTCTCCTTCCTCCCTTCTCTGGCCTGCTTTTTCTCTGGCCTGCCTTCTCTCTGGCAAAGACAGCAACCCCTAATTGATGGAGTAGATTCTCAACCAGTTTTTCTTCAGAAAAGTATAAATAAAAATGAAGTGAGCTCTTAATGCCTTCACTTTTCCTAGAAAAATGCTAAGAAGTTTTATGTATATTCTTAACTAAAATAAGCTTTTGCATACATTCAAATATGTCAAAATGTTAGCAAGTTCCTGTTTTCCTTAAATCCATGTAATAACAAAGCAGCTAGGATAGTAGTAATATATTCCTGGAAAGAATAGTCTTGTCATTGATAGTTGAGTATTGTATTCCATTTTTACATGTTCAATGATAGAATGATATCTTCCTATAGTAATAAATACATGTATTGCAGGTTACTGTTTTATTTGGAAAAGAGGCAATTTAAATTGCACATGATTGGAGTTACCTAAGAGAGGTAGCAGACAGTTCTTGCAGGTTGATAAATAGCTTTACTCCTAATTGAGTACAGCTGTGGTGAATTTAGTCACACCCTGGAAGGCAGAGCCCAGCAATGATTTGGCCTTTTATCCGTGAAATGTAACTCTCTCCTTTCACTGCATGCCACTGTATGTGGGCTCTGGACATTCCATTCCCTGAGCATGGCAGGCCACTGACTATACAGCTGATATTTCACAGATTTCATTATACATGGGCCAGTCATATCTTCCAAAATTTATCAGTTTTAATAGGTAACTTTCCAACAGGTTGCTGATAAGACTGATGCTGCTGGTCCTTGGGCCACATGTTAGAACCACTTGTCTTATCATCATTCTAAAGATCCGTCTTGTAATCTTTATGAAAAGCCATGATTAAGCTGTTCCTAGAGGTACATTTATGTTTTCCCCCTTCATAATGTCCCAGACTAAGTAGAAAAAGAAGTATTCTTACATTGTTTTTTACATTGTAAAAAATTTAAAACATGAATATGCATATTGAAAAATATACACGATTTGCTTTTTAAATACCTCATTTACTTGGATATGCCATTGGTATTTACTTGAAGCAACTTGAGAGGAAAAAGATTACAATCAAATGTCAACATTTGTGTTTCTGGCTTGATGGCAGTATGATCATTAAATTACCATCACACAGCTGGGAATATGCTGCTTGAAGAAATGAAAATACAGGGTTTTTAAATAAATAAATGAAGATTCCAAATCTAAACCGTCTATAAGGAATGAAGAATGAAAAAATAGTGAAGGCCAGACCCCAGGCTCTGAGACATAAGAGACTTTATAGAGTCTTTCATTACAGACTTAGAGTCATTTATTTGACTCTTCTGGAAACATACATTAAGTATGTGCCATTAGGTCCTGGAACAGTAGGGGCAAGGACGCTGCTGAAATAATGGACTTGGGTTCAACTTCAGCTTTGACTGTCTGGTCCTTCAGTGTACTGGGCTAAATGATACCAGTCACATAGAATTAACTAGATGATTTCACGAGAAAACATGCACCGGGCTTAGCACAGAGTCTGAGATATATTGAGTTCCTTGGGATGTTAGTAGCCCCTCAGGCCTCAGTGTGATAAATGCTAAAGGCACAGAGACGAGGATGGAACCAGACAGAAGCAAGATGAGGCTGAAAAAGGATATTGAATAGTCTAGTAGTTCTAAAAAAGTTGAGCTCATAATCAGAGTAGACAGTGGTTACCAAAAGCTAGGCTGTTGCGGGGGTGCGAAGTGAGATGTTGTCAGGATACAAAGTTAGACAGGATCCATCCACTGCACAGTATGGTAGCCATGGTTGATGCATTGTGTATTTCCAGACTGCTGAAGGAATAGATTTTAAACCTTCTCATCACAGAGGAATGATAAGCAGATGAAGTGATGGATATGTTAATTATTTTTATTTACTCTTTCTACAGTGTATACATATGTTGATATATGTATTATATATCACCTTATACTCCATAAATATATACAATTATTATTTTCCATTTTAAAAAGTAAAAACCAAAAAGCCCAGTAGTTCTTCCAAGTATGGTCCCTGTGAGGTCAAACAGTGACCAGTGTAGGATGCCCCTGGGTGGGGCAGAGCCTTTTGGAAGTGGGATCTGGTGGGAGGAAGTGAGGTCACTGGCCCCAACCCTTTTGTCTTCTCTCTTTGCTTCCTTTGTGTGCACTCCTGCCATGATATGCAGCCTCACCACAGGCCCAAAGTCAGCAGTGCAAGCAACCAGGGAGTTATGCTTGTGAAACCATGAGCCAAATAAACCTTACCTCCTTATAAGCTGATTATGTTGGGTACTTTGTCACAGTGACGGGAATCTGGCTAGCTAAAATGCAAACACATTTGTCTTTACTGCGTTGACCTTTGTACTGATGGTGCAGAAACAATTGTGGGCCTAACTACTTGTACCTTACATAAGCCAAAGCCATGGCACCATGTTGTACTAGGATTTTAAAGGAAAAAATCAGTTATCTTAAGAATCCCCTTGATGAAGTAGTATATTTTATTGAATCTCAACCCTTGAGTAACTGCTCTTTTTTTTTTCAGTTCTACATGATGAAATGGGAAGTACATGTAAAGTACTTTGGCTGCATTCCAAAGTATGATATGTGTACTAAAGAAAAACACTTGTGAGACTTAGCCCTCTCTTTCATGGACTACCTTGAAGTAATGGTAGGCAGACCAATGACAGTTATTCAGACAAGTGTTTGGCAGATATTTTCTTAACATTGAACACAGTGAGCCCATTACTTCCAAGGAAAACAACTTGACCATATTTATTATGACAAAACTCAAGCTTTCAAACAAAAATAAGAACTTTTAAAAACTTTTACCTGATGCTGACCTTGACAGCTTCCTATTATTAAACATTTTTCAGATGAGATTGGTGGTGGAATTAGCAACAAGTTTTTTTAAATATAGTTAAACACTTGGAGGATCTGCATAACTCAGAAAATCAGTAATTTCCAAATATCTCCTGCATAAGAATACAAAGTTATGCATAAGTAAAAGAAAGATCCATTCAAACTACAGTATGGACCAGTGCGTTTTAATGTAACTGAGTACAAAGAATCCATTCATATGGTTTCAGATTTCACATTGCAACTCACCTTTACAAAACTAGCACTTACCAAGCTCTGGTGTAATACTAAAGAACAGTATCCAGTTATTTAAAAGGCTATTGGGGCCAGGGATTTAGCTCAGTGGTTCCAGCACCTGCCTCGCAAGCACAAGGTCCCGAGTTTGATCCCCGGTACCAAATACACACACACACACACACACACACACACACACATAAACTAAAATAAAAGGCTATTAAATTGCTTCTCCCTTTCCTAGCTATAATTCTGGATGGGATCAGATTTTTTTGCATATTCTTTAATCAAAATAACTAGTTACAGCAGATTAAATGCAGAAGCAAATATGAGAATTTGTCTGTCTTCTATTAAGCCAGATATTTAAAAAGATTTGAAAATATATTAAAAAGGATTTTAATGAATTGACTATTTTTAAATATTCTCAGTTTTAGTTTCTATTATAAATGCCAATAGATATAATATGCATGAACAAGAACTCTTCTGGCTGCCAGTTTTTTGGAGCTTTATATTCTTGAGATTTTAAAAGTTTAGGAATTGCTGGGACAGGCTGTAAAATTGTGGTGAAAACATTTTTAAGTAGGAAAGTACCTTGTTTTGTTTTGTTTTTTAACAGTCTTTTCTGGTAGGAGTAATAAGTAGACTGGAGAGTGAAATACCTTGGGTCAGATTTTGGTTCAGAAATGTATCCACAGGCATCATTTCCATCAAGCTAC